TGTCATACTGATTCTCATATACATGGGATATTTGAGTGGTGTGTATGTACTCGAAAAAAGCTTTAAAATCTGCGGGCAAACAGGTTTTGCCAGACAAATGGATGTAGATTCAGCTATCGGCCTTGATTCATGTGTAGATTAAGCATTGGAAGCTCTGTTTTGTATATGGTGTCAACAGGAGGATGTGAAAACAACTTAAAGTCAGGTTCAGAGTAGCAGCCGTGTTAGTCTGTATCCGCAAAAAGAAGAACAGGAGTACTTGTGGCACCTTAGAGACTAACAAATTTATTAGAGCATAAGCTTTCGTGGACTACAGCCCACTTCTTCGGATGCATATAGAATGGAACACATATTGAGGAGATATATATACACACATACAGAGAGCATGAACAGGTGGGAGTTGTCTTACCAACTCTGAGAGGCCAATTAATTAAGGTTTTTTTTTCTTAATTATATTTATATATAAATTTGTTAAACTTAAAGTCAGCGCACCAGGAACGGAATCACTGGGGGTCATCCTGACCATGGGGACAAAAACAATGAGTTTTGGGAAATGCACAAAGTCATTTTGTTTTCATTCGCTGAGGAAGCAGAAAGAACAGTGCATTTTGCATTCATGAGATAAGCTGTTTTAAACAAAACTTCAGTAGGCTAAAAACCTAACCTTAGGTCTTGTATTATTGTGCAGGTGCAAATGCTAGTAAGTTGAGATGATTAATAAAGAATAAACAGGTCTTTGGATTTTTTTTCTACAATAGAATTTAAAAATCAAGAGCGTGGTACAAGTGGTACTATCAGGGTGATAATGCTTTAAACTATATGTTAGAGATTAATTAGTTGTGTCACAGAAAATTTTAAATTCCCTGTCGCTCAGGAACATTGAGAAAATACTTTCCATACTACAGTCATATTGGATTTTTAGGGGCTGATCCTGCTTCCATTTGCAAACGTTAATAAAACATCCATTGACCTGCAATAATTGCAGGAATTGGCTCTACCCTCGTAGCAGGAATTGTAAGTTTTGTATAGGCTGGTGGCCATGGATTTATGTACTCTGAAATTCTGTGGCTGTGGAATTTATTGTAGAATTGTGTTCTAGAATGAGTATTTATTTATTTAAAAAACAAAAAGCTTCTAGTCCTTTATGGACGGGAAGAAAACATAAATGCGAACAGTGTATCTAATGCAGCGTTTGCAGAAAGATAGGAACAATAGTTCTGAGGTGTGAACTGTCCTATTATCTCAATTAGTGTTTGTTTTGAAATCTAATTATGGCAGTTAAAAATGCAACTTTCACTGCTGATAATGTTGGCATCACTCACCTTCTCAGGTGCCAAAAGTCCCAACTGTCTCCTCTGCTTCCAAAACCTTCAGGTTTCCCCTGATTTTTATACTTCATTGATTTGTCTTCAGCAGGGCCGGCTCCAGGCACCAGCTTCTCAAGCAGGTGCTTGGGGCGGCCGCTCCTGAGAGGGGTGGCACGTCTGGGTATTCGGCGGCAATTCGGCGGACGGTCCCTCACTCCCGCTGGGAGCAAAGGACCTCCCGCTGAATTGCCGTTGCAGATCGCGATTGCGGCTTTTTGTGTGTGTGTGTGTGTGTGTGTGTGTTGGCTGCTTGGGGCGGCCAAAACCCTGGAGCCGGCCCTGGTCTTCAGTACAAATTGTGCAGCACATTGAAAATTAAAAAATGGAGTAGCAGAAAATTGAATTCAACTGAGGGTATATTCTGATTGTACTATTCAATTTGATATTCAGTAAAATCTTATTCGTTAATCTAGTTGAAGATGTCACAGAATTTCCAACCCGGGAATGTCTCAGGGTTCTGTGGTTTTGCCATGGAATATGTGACTGCTTGGGGGGTTTCATAAGTGGGCATTTAAACCTGATACGTGTGTGAGGAGGGAGAAGGGATCTATACATCTACTGTCAATTGTAGAGTCACACTTCAAAATTAGTTTCACAATACCTACAACGTAAGCAAAAGCACATCTTTCTTTTTGTGATACCTTCTTCAAATCCAGGGACAAGGTTGTATCCTGTCACTCATCCTCCTGCCCCATGTTTGGTTTTTTTTTTTTTTCCATTTCATGTGCTAATTCATTCCCCTGCGCTCTTCTGTTTACGTCAGACCTGAAATTAATCATGAAATTAATCTGTTGAGAAGCAACTTCTGCCGCCTTCTTCACCCTGTCAAGTAGCAAACTTGGTGACGATGCAAAATGCTTCTCTTTCCGGAGTTGACGTTGGAAGTTTTTTCTCAGCGTCCTTAGCCGAGTCCACGTGAAATGAGCTATTAAAAACACTATTGCTTAGTCACTGAGGTGGAGTAAAAGGCCAGAATCATCAATTTGCAAACCTCGGGGAGAGAATCTGATGAAATTTGCAAAGGATCCTGATGTCAGTAGACCTGAAAATTGTTTTGGAAGGGGTAAAACTTTGTAGATTCTAACAATGGTTGAATTATTGTCTTTCCTTTTACTCTCT